AAAAAAAAAAAAATTCAACCTAACCCTAATAAGGCCTAACGTTCCATTGAAAATAATGTATTTTTGAAAAAGCCTTCCCTGAGTAGCTTTTTCTGCACGTCTCATCATTTCTTCCCATTCTAAACACATTCCAACCATCAAAACCATGCCAGGACACCTCGTTTACCTAACCCTAACCCTACCCTGGTGCACACCCCTAACCCTAATAAGGGCAGAAGTTCCATTGAAAATAATGCGATTTTGAAAAAGCCTTCCCCGAGTAGCTTTTTCTGCGCAGCTCATCATTTCTGCCCACTCTAAGCACATTCCAACCATCAAAACCGTGCCAGGACACCTCATTTTCCTAACCCTAACCCTACCCTGGTGCACACCCCTAACCCTAATAAGGGCAGAAGTTCCATTGAAAATAATGCTATTTTGAAAAAGCCTTCCCCGAGCAGCTTTTTCTGCGCAGCTCATCATTTCTGCCCACTCTAAGCACATTCCAACCATCAAAACCATGCCAGGACACCTCATTTTGCTAACCCTAACCCTACCCTGGTGCACAGCCCTAACCCTAATATGGGCAGATGTTCCATTGAAAATAATGCTATTTTGAAAAAGCCTTCTTTGAGTAGCTTTTTCTGCACAGCTCATCCTCTCTGCCCATTCTAAGCACATTCCAACCATCAAAACCATGCCAGGACACCTCGTTTTGCTAACTCTAACCCTACCGTGGTGCACACCCCTCAGCCTAAGAGAGGGTTAAAGTGCCATTGAAAATGCTGCGATTTTGAAAAATCCTTCTCCGAGTAGCCTTTTCTGCACAGCTCATCCTCTCTGCCCATTCTAAGCACATTCCAACCATCAAAATCTTGCCAGGAGAGCTAGGTTTTTTAACCATAACCGAGTGATGGTGAACCTTTTAGAGACTGAATTCCCAAACTATAACCGAAATAATAACCCACTTATTAATCGCAAATTTCCAACACTGCAATAGAACCTGAAAACAGCCAGGCCAAGCAATTACACACGCACACACTTGGAAGTGCACTTACCGGCCATGCAAAAGCTCAGACGAGTTGCGGCTAATGTGTCACGGCTTGTGTCGTCATCCCTTGGTGCCGCTACTCCTTTCCGATCCTGCGCATAGCCCCTTTGCGCACTGTTATCCGGTGCTCGGCTGCTGGGGCGATGCTGGGGCACCTTGGCTCGTGTGCTGGCAGAGGGGCTCTGCGCGCTCACTGTGGCACTGGTGCCGCACGTTCGCCACCAGTGTCATAGGATCATCATTGCCACCCAACTGCTGAGTCCTCCACTCATATCCCTCTATGTATTTTGCACTGGAATCCCCCTTTTTTAAATAAATAAAACAAATGGACTCTGGAGGCCAGAGTTACTAAGGCTGATGGGAAGCAAGAACTTATTGGGTTGCCAATGCTGTCGGCACACATGTGAACACAAATCCTCCCGACTCGACCAAAGTCCTATCTAATCTACTATTCCCTCCACACAATGGCCAACCAGCTGCCCATGGGATCCCCCAAAAAGGCCATGGGTAAAACAACTTTCTCCCATTCGGATTCCCCACAACTGGTGTAAACATTACACAGAAAGACCATGTGGGAGCAATCACAGAATAGAATCATGGAATCACAGAACAGTAGAATCAGTGGGGCAATCCATAACCATGATGCCCTGGTGCCATTCCCAAGAATGTACTTTGGTATTGCCCATTCCCAAAATTCATGCGTGCAGAATACAATCTTGAAAGGGGAACCCTGGGCCAAGATCACATGAAAACCTCAATCACTTTCTGAGGTTCATTTGGCATCATTTGGCACAATCATTTGGCATAAGTCCACTTGTCACTACTCTGTAGGAACATATACTTTCTTCAGTTGCAGTGTTTATTATCATTCTGTAGCTGATAGAGTCCCCTCAATAAATTGCAATGGTCACAAATGTTCTAGGGCATAAAAATGACTCACTAGCGGCGGGCAGGTCTTGAAGTCAGGCAGGTGTCAGTGA